GGTGTAGATAGAGAGGTATCCGGTCGGAGGCATACTAGTCCTAAAATGCATGTCCGGGAGGAGATATTCGAACCACCTCCCATCAATGCATCCTTCCTTCACCACCCGGATAATGTCCTTATTCCGGACTCTCGACGCCACAATATCGGCTGTAAAGAAAGGCCTGTCTAGATCACCGCTCGTGGCAGCCAGGGGGGCATCCACCAGCGAGGCAGCCACCCCGCTTACACTGCCCCCGTGAAGGGAATTCGGTCAACCACTTCATCTAACATTTGTTCTACACTACCAAACTCGCTACCAAAATCGTCGCCTGGTCCATACATGGCCTCGGTGTCTTCTACTTCCCTCAGTAAGGAGTCGACGCCTAAAGAGGAAGAAGACCATGAAATCTCCACCACAGAAGGGGAGTCTGGACGAACGACGAAGGGATCCTCTCGACGGGGGGAGTTTTGGGCCATTATTCTGGTGAATAAAAAGACAAGGAACCGAGTTAAAACTCTAAAGTCGAGAGGAAGAAGAAAAAGACGGCCACTTTAAACGACGACTTCTCAAACGCCTCGACGTGACGTCGACCATTCATGTAAGAATGGTAACGGCGAGTATTCATGGTAGCCCAAGTTCACCAGAACTCAGGAACCAGAAGCGCACAGACAACCACAAAGTCAGAAAAAGAACTATCCTATGCGGATAAATAACACGAAGTAAGTCTCTTTAACCTCTACATTTTGCATATTTACACATGCATATGAGTCAATAGGGAAAACCCGTAAAGAAATGATACAAGCAAAGGGTGATAAGGCTTACCAGTAAGAAGGATTTCGGGCAAAGTCTGGAACTAAGACAGCTTCGTAACACGCCAAGCAACACAAGGAATACGAGTCGGGGTTTACGGGGAAGAATTCCGGCAGAGCAAACGGCAGTTCAACGAAAACGAAATGTGTTTGTGTTTGAGAAAAATGGTCTCGGTTCAGAAAGGTATTTAAGGAGAGGAAAATCCTTAACCCCTGACCGTCAGATGAAATTCATAGAATCCAACGGCCAGGGAATCCCGCCCAGATCTAACGATGACAGATGAAGGCGGGAAAATGAAGGGGCGCAATCCAAGGGCTCACATTCGTCCTTTCAAAATAAGGCCTCACGTCAGCATAGGGAAGTGACCGACGCGACGGTTGCATTCCTCAAGAAAATTTGAAGCATTCAGACCATCATTGCAGACGAAGGCTCGAGACCGGTTCCCCACACCCAAAGCACGGAAGAACGACCGAACGTAAGCTCGAGGCTGTCTAAAAGAAACCCTCGACCTGGGGGGTAGCTGTTGTGGGGGAAAACGTGGAGGGCGCGTGGAAGGATGACAATATGACACGTGGCCTTAACTAATCCTCGCATAGCGACAACCCTCGACGTCTGGGACTCCCTTCCATTCCGTTGCGAATAGCCCAAGTAAGAAGTCCAACTTAGGGCGTCGATTTCATCTGGCGTCGACAGATCGCACCGTCGACCTTACAACATAAAAATTCCTCGTCATAAAATTGACCGCCAAGAACGACAATTGGGCTAAACAACACTGGCAACGAGGGGAATGCTCCTTGGGGGAAAGCCTGACATGGCAAGTTGTGTAAAGTAACGGGGGATGTCTGCAATGCAGGCATAAATTGCAACCCTTTGAACCGCCCCACGGGGGACAGAAAAGGGTTACAGGTACGCATAGAGCCGTAATAGGAGACTAAATTGGCTGAGTGAACAGTACTCCAAGTGATTAGTGGGCTACGTCTGGGCCTAAAAAGGAAGAGCACTTGAGTGCTTCTGCCTACAAAGGAAACCCGCCCAGCGAAGGAAGCTCTAATATAAAAGAGGCAAAGCCCCATACAGAAAAGGGGTTCACGTCCAGAAAAAAAAGAGCAATTGATGTAAATTGTGATCACCTCAAAAGGAATATACAACCGCAGTGGATGTAGCTATGATTTTATAGAGTGAACCACTATAAAATCTCTTGTGTTCCTTTACTTTAAAGCATTATTCTTCCAAATAGCTCATCCCTCTAAAAATATCAAACACCTTCGGTACAAAACTCTTACATATAACCTATATTAAAGCCGGTAATCCGACGGGAAACCTAGAGGTAACCCGGCCTGTTTTTGTTGATGAAAATTTACCGTCAACATTTAGCATTCTTATTTACTTAGAATTGTTTCAAATTTTTCTGTTTTGTTTTGATTTTTCCTCAAAAAAGTGGTTAATATTGAATCCATAGGTGTCCGCTTGCCAAACATTGTGACGTTTTTTTCCTTTTTTTTTTTTGTCTTTGTAAAGAAATTATTCACACCATATTCTAGGTACTAAATTGTCAGAACATATACATGCAACAAATCCAAATAAAAACAGTGATTTTTTGACAACTCGTGATTAACTCTCCAAAGACACTCACGGTAATCTCTTCGGGATTAACCAAGGATTAAAACTGTAAAATAATGCAAAGAAGACATAAATTTATAGTGGTTCGACAAGATTTCTTGGCCTAGTCCACTTGTGGATGAACTAATCTTCCAGAGATTACAACTTCTTTTTTAGTAATGAAATAGTGCGTAAAAAACATAAGGGATTTTCCTGGCTCTATTTATAGGCCTTGTACATATGGGTGATCTCCTCTACATTTCCTGAGGAGATCATCTTCTATCCCTGAATTCTGGGATTTGGCAGTAGTATTTCCATGATTGCAGCTTCTGGAAATCAGACCAACCTCCCCTACCGACTACCTGATTTTCTGACTCCAACAGTGGTAGGTGGCACAGTGTATCTCTCTTTGAGTTGACAGGACGATCTGGGGATTGGACTGTACTGCTTTCTCGGCGTCGAGACCGTCACACCCTAGGTGGTGTCCTCGACCTGTACCCCGCTGCACGACTCTTCGCTGCTTCGTGGGCATCCTAGATGCCGCCTTCTTCTCGACGTCAGCGACCGGCTCTCAGTTGGGATACCTCGGCGCTTGTCAGTCAAGAGAACGGTCGACTCCTCGACCGTGGTGTAACACCTTGCAATCCCACAACACACCAAATCAATCTAGATAAATCTAAAAACTATAAATTGACTATTTTCGCACATTTCTGGCGTATTGTTTTCGTTAGACTCCTTTAACACGGCTCTTGCATAAACAAAAAATTGGGGTTAGCATGATCCTATTATCATGCCCATAGGAAAACTAAATCTTACTAATTTCTGTAGCAACAGAGCACCATATTAAGTAGGAATTTGAACATAGTGGGTAAAAATTATAAATTAAAAAGGAATTTATTATCTTTTCCTTCCCTTTTTGAAAGAATATTACTTAGAAAACTTTTATGGTAAGAACTGTTATCCTACACTATTGGTAAGAAGGAAGTTCTAATGACACACAATTAATGTTATATAAGAGGGTCTTAAATGTTAAAAAAAGTATTTTGAGAGTGGAAAATAATTTATAATTTACTTACTGAGTTACGCTTATATAGTTCTTATGATGTATGTAACTTTCTAAATAGAAGTTCTAGCTAACTGAGTAAAGAGGGTCTAAAATCCATGACTAGTTTAGAAATATTAAGAATTAAAATTTTGTAACTTTAAGGGTGTGTTTGATTGAGAGGAATATAATAGAAAGGAAAGGTCATTCTCATAATTTCGTTGTTTGGTTGCTTTATTTTAGCTAAGAAAGATTTTATGTGGGAAAGCTCATTCACTCAATTTGAGTGAATTTTCGGCCTCGTTCATTTCACCGATTTGAATTTTCAGTTTTAGGTCTCTACAATAAAAAATTTTTAGAAAATGTCACATCTAACTTTTTTTACTATAATAAAAAGCTCTCAAAAAATATCACATCTTAACTCGAATCCGCGAAATGAACGAGGCTTCATTACGTGGGGTGACTGGAAAGGCCTTTCCATTCAGGCCTCTTTTTTTTTCACCAATTTGGCCCTCGTCCCCGATAGAAAGAAGATCAAAAGAAGAAAGAACCCTAGCCCCATCTCCCCTCGACTACGACTCCAACTGAGGCCAGCGCATACACTTGACGGAAGGTCGATCGACTATTGACGCCGGCGACGAGAAACGACCGTTGGTCACTGAATCTGAGCAGGTACAATCTTCCCTCTTGTTCCTTCGTGGTTCTTGGAGATCCCTCTTTTCTGCCTTCGTTTTGATTTTTTGAAATCTTCCCTCAAAAGAGGTTTTTCTTTGGTTTTGTGACGGTTTTGAGTTAGACATTTTCGCATTCTCACTCTTTCTGTTTGATTCCTAAGAAAAAACGCACGCCGTGAAAACACAATTCGTTGTTCTCTTTTACCCTAACTAGCTCTCAAAACGTATTTCCCTCTCTGTTTCGGTTTGTAAAAAGAACCATTAACTCTTTTTCGTTCTGGTGTAATTTTATACTTATTGCGATCTGATTCATGGGTTTTGGCGTTAATGTGCTTGTAATTGGATTTCAGCATATTTTAGTTACTTTTATGCGATTAACATTGTGAACCCATTTCAGGGTTTTGGCAATTTTAATAACTTTTTACATTGGACACGAATTTTAATTGAAAGAATGTGTATAAATTTTGCACTTCTGTTGCAAGTTTTGGGAAATGAAGTTCCTTTTCTCATCAATGGAAGTGCTCATGTTTTTATTTATTGATTCTTTTGATGGTTGCATACTTGCATTGTTGCTTGCTAGATGTCAAAGATAAAGTAGCTCTATCACTCTTGAATTATCCTAAAAGTTGAAAGATTTTAATTAGGTTAGAGTATGGATAAAGAACTATGCTTTATCATGCAGTAGCCAGGTTAATTGATAAAACACTATGCCTTGGGACTTTGTTCAGTTTTTAGAGATTCTAGTTTCCACTTAATTGGCAATTTGTTGATCTTTGTGTGTGAGATTATGGGTTGTTCTATTCGAGCGTTTATTTTGTTGATTATACTTTGGTTCCAAATAATTAGCTGCCTTTAACTTTATTTTCGTTTTGTATGCAGAGTAAGCATCTAGTGGTGTTTACAGGTGCAGGAATTTCAACTTCTTTTGGTATACCTGATTTTTGAGGTCCAAAAGGCATTTGGACACTTCAGGTGAGTCACATTCTGCCTTGTAAAGTTAATGAGCAATAAGTGAATTTAGTGGGTCTTGGTTCGTATATTTTTGGCGGTGGTTTTGGCGAGGTCGGGCGTGGTTGTTCAATCGGTCTTTTTGAGGAGCAAGTGATTTCTTACAATTGGGTACAGTCAAGAGTTAGGAGTATAATTTCTTTAGAGTATAGTGTCAATATATTAATGTATTCACGTTTATTGTAACTGTAATGAAAAGGAAAAAAAATAGGCCTCCTTTTTGCCCTTATGAACTTATGTTCTGATGTTCATTTACTACTACAGCGTGAAGGCAAAGCCTTGCCTGAAGCATCATTGCCATTTCATCGCGCTATGCCGAGCTTGACTCACATGGCTTTAGTTGAATTGGAACGAGTGGGCATTTTTGGTTGAATTTGGTTTGATTATGTTTAGACAATGTGATTGAATAAATAAGAAAAAAGTGTTTGTATTTTGAGACGTAAGGAATTTTAGATGTCTGTATGTTTAGTTGTTTTATTGAGCTTTAAAGTTGCTCGACTCATGTAATTTTCATGTTCTCATTTTCAGCTTAGAAACTATCTCTGTTACACCTCCAAACTGTTCACCAGTCAAATCATTTGTGGCCTTCATTCAGGTTTCTTTCTTTCTCCTCACTCAATTTCGCATTTCATGGCTACTGTGTGGATTATGATGCTTATGTATATGATCTTTTTGGCATGTTTTTTGATTTTTTTCGTATTTAATATAATACATATATGTTGTAGATTATGTTCTCCAATTGCTTGTAATACTTATATAATTTGTGTTATAAGTTTTTCTTAATTGTTTGGATTCTTGAGTACAAGATGACTTGGTGGGGTCATTGCTATTATTAAATTAAACTCATTAGCGTGCGTTTAAATGGCTCACTTTGGTTGTTTTATTATAGGATAATGGCTCGCTTAGGATTAGTCAAAAGTGAAAGTCTGAGAAAGAGGAAGATAGTTGCTTTGCTTTTACATTGGTTGAATATTATGCATGTAGTGCAATGTTTCTTTGAATTGACGTAAAGAGTGGTGATGGAGGATATAGAACCAATACGACTACAGAGACAACTTTATGTGCTTGACGTGTTTGTTCATAGGCAATATGTTCATCAACTAGCTTACGCAAGTGATGTCATATGCAGAGATCAATTAAGGATGAATAGAAATGCCTTCAGTAATTTGTGCACATTGCTAGAAACTAGGGGTGGGTTGAAAGCGTCTAAGTATTTGCAAGTAGATGAGCAAGTGGCTATGTTTTTACATACCATTCCTCACCATGAGAAAATAGAGTTATAAAATTCCATTTTATGAGATCTGGACAAACGGTTAGTAAGTACTTTCACAATGTCTTGCATTCAATCATTCGACTTCATGGAGTGTTATTCGTTAGACCTGAGCCGGTTGCAGATAACTCAACTGATGATAGGTGGAAATGGTTTAAGGCACGTACCTATTTCTGTGTTATGCTTAAAATGGGTAGCACCCATGGTGTAATTAGTAATTATATCTTTTATATATTATAGAATTGCCTAGGTGCACTAGATGGAACCTATATTAGGGTGAGAGTGCCTACGACAGAGAGACCCAAATATCGTAATCGACATGGAACTGTAGCAACAAATGTCTTGGGAGTATGCACACGAGATATGGAATTTACATATGTGTTGCCTGGATGGGAAGGATCTGTAGCTAATGGCAGAGTATTACACGATGCTCTACGTAGGGCAAATGGTTTACGTGTTCCAAATGGTAAGTTTGTTACTAGTAAAGTAGTTTACTCGATCTTTGTTACATCGTTTGTTGTTACAGTTAACAAAATGTTAAATCTATATTTATCAATTCTTTTAACAGGATGTTACTATCTTGTTGATGCTGGATACACCAATTGTAAAGCTTTCCTTGCACCATTTCGTGGCCAACAGTACCGTCTAAAGGAATGGGAAGATGGAACACAACCTAGGAATGCACAAGAGTATTTTAATATGAAACATTCACATGCTAGAAATGTGATTGAGAGATGTTTTGGTTTACTTAATAGTCGTTGGGTGATTCTTTGTAGTCCATCATTTTTTCCAATTAAAACTCAAAATCGCATTATCTTAGCATGCTGTTTGTTACATAATTTTATTATGCACGAAATGCCTAATGACGTTCCAGATCCAATACCAAAAGATGAGTGTGAGAATGACGAGGAAGATGAAGTAGAAGATAATGATGATTTAATAACGGCTGTTGAGCTTTTCAGAGTAGTGAACTGGGTAGCGTAAGATATGTTTAATGACTGGAGGAATCGTAAGATGAACTGACAATTGTCTATGTGTTTGTCCCTTAGAGCTTGTAATGGAACTTGTATTGTTTGCTTGAATCATGACAAACTTATGCATGTTTTATCCGGCACATTCGAATAATGTGCGTCGCTTTTAATTGTTTTTATCTATAGTATTTACAAATTACTAATTATATATCATAGAGGATGTTGATTCTTGATTGTATACATGTTTGTTATTTGTTATTGTTAGGATGGACACTTCTAAATCCAGAGGTCCAGGTCAAAATAAAAGGTATTGGACTGAAGATGATGATAAATTCCTAATTGAGGCTTTAATGAAGTTACATAACGAGGAAACATATAAAGCGGAAGGTAATTTCAAAGCTGGACATCTGCACGCTCTTGAGAAAAAGTTACATAGTAGGTTGTCAAGATGTGACTTACTAGCTAGGCCATACATAGAGTCAAGAATGAAAACTTTGAAGACTCATTTTCAAATTGTGCATGAAATGCTAACCGGGCTTAACTATAGCGGTTTCAGATGAGATCCAGATAAGAAAACAGTTACAACTGAATTAATAACATGGTTGATAGTAATAGAAGTTGTTCATCTAATTTAATCTTTTTCCGTATTAAATTTAGAGTCACAAGGAAGCATTACCGTTTAAGACCAAGGCTTTTCCCTACTATGATGACTTGTGTATGATTTTCGGCAAAGATCATGTAACTAGTAGGGGTGCCGAGACTGCTGCTGATATAATTGAGGAACTTGAAAAAAAAGCAGCTGATGACATTAATATTGACGATAACTATTTCAATGACATTCACAATACAACTTATGTTGATGAAGCGCAGTCAATGTCTTTCTCACAAGCATCGGCTATTCCTCAAACTCAAGCTCAATCTCAATGGTCGTCTAAAAGAAAAATGAAGAGTACAAACAATGCAAAGACTTATGAAGCCATTGAAAGATCATCTACTTTACTTGCTGGTGTTATTGAAAAGGCAAGTGAACGTTTAAGTCGGGCTATCGGTGAAGACATAACGGAAAAACATAGCTGGATTAGAGATGAGTTACAAAGGACCACAACCATTAACGCAATGGAACAACATAAAGTAGCCCGGACGATGATAAAGGATGATGCTTTAGTTTCTCACTTTTTTAGAATCCTAGATGATGAAAAAAATGAGTGGGCTAGAGTTTTGCTTGTTGGTGATATTTAGGAGCCTCCGTTTAGTTTTAGCGGAAAAACATAGCCGGATTATCTTTTGATATAGTGGTGTATGTGTTATACATTTCTCTTTTGATATAGTGGTGCATGTATGTAGTTGAATGATATATCAAAAAATAGGCTGTGAAGCGTAAAAACAGCCTTGGCACCCCTACCAGTTGCACGATCTTTGTCAAAAACCATACACAAGTCATCATAGTAGGGAAAAGCCTTGGTCTTAAACGGTAATGCTTCCTTGTGACTCTGAATTTAATACAGAAAAAGATTAAACTAGATGAACAACTTCTATTACTATCAACCATATTATTGATTCACATTATAAGTACCTTGAGATATGCTTCCCACACCGGCTTTTCAGTTGTAACCGTTTTTCTATCTGGATCCCATCCGAAACCGTTACAGTTAGACCCGGTTAGCATTTCATGCACAATTTGAAAATGAGTCTTCAAAGTTTTCATTCTTGACTCTGTGTGGCCTAGCTAGTAAGTCACATCCTGACAACCTGCTATGTAACTTTTTCTTAAGAGCGTGCATATGTCCAGCTTTGAAATTACCTTCCGCTTTATATGTTCCCTCGTTATGTAACTCATTAAAGTCTCAATTAGGAATTTATCGTCATCTTTAGTCCAATACCTTTTATTTTGACCTGAATCTCTGGATTTGGAAGTGTCTATCCTAACAATAACAAAGAACAAACATGTATACAATCAAGAATCAACATCCTCTACGATATATAATTAGTAACTTGCAAATACTATAGATAAAAACAATTAAAAGCGACACATATTATTCAAATGTGCCGGATAAAACATGCAAACAACATAAGTTTGTCCTAATTCAAGCAAGCAATACAAGTTCTAAGGGACAAACACATAGACAATTGTCAATTCATCCTACGATTCCTCCAGTCATTAAAACATATCTTGCGCTATAGTATTCCTCCGCCCAGTCCACTCCTCTGAAGGCTCAACGGCCGTTATCAAATCATCATTATCTTATATTTCTTCATCTTCTTCGTCATTCTCACACTCATCTTCTGGTATTGGATATGGAACGTCATTAGGCATTTCGCGCCTAATAAAATTATGTAACAAACAGCATGTTAAGATAATGCAATTTTGAGTTTTAATTGGAAAAAATGGACTACAAAGAATCGCCCAACGACTCTTAAGTACACCAAAACATCTCAATCACATTCCTAGCATGTGAATGTTTCGGTAATATATCATATCTTTCGGGAATATATCTTAATTGAAGCTGTCTGCTGAATTAATTTGAAAAGTGTACAGCTATTCTGATATGAAACATGTATCATAGACCTTGTTCTTGTCATTTAAACATTTTTCTTCACAACAGAAATCATTCCAATCATGCCCCTACATCTTTCATGTATAAATCTTTGGCATTCTTATTGAAGGACAAATTCTCAAAATTTTGCCTTCTGTTTTGGTTTTTCCTTACAAAAGTGAATGGAACTGCCATTATCTATCTGAAACCTTCTAAAGCATGAATTCAATCAAGAGGTCTCATTGGCTTTATCGATAGTACAAATTTCTTTTCTCCTCCGCAACATCAGAGTATTACAGACACTGATGACACAAAAAAAAAAAAAAAAAAAAAAAAGAAGCGCCTAATAGAATTTTTGTTAATATGAAAACGACGACATTGAGCCTATAATTTGGAAAACAACTCCAAATTATTGGCACTATGCATCACAAAGTAAAATAACTATAAACAACAAAAGAAAATGAATAATGTACTGTCCAAATTCAATGACTTGATCACTAAAGAGTAAAGAGAAATCCTCTGCCTTGTCTCTCATTATTAGCAATACATACCAAAATAAAAGACATATAGGAGTTCATATTCGTGACAACATCAAACCGAAAATAATTAATTTCGAAACCCCACACATTTACTGAACAGAACAGAAAAATCTCCTGCCTTGTTCATGAGCAATGTTTCAGGCTCCTTTCGCACAATTCCAGGAAGAGAAGGATGAGCTGAACAGAAACAATCCAAAATAAATTTTCGAATTGGGCTTGCAAATGTCTTGAGAAGAATAATCTTGTAGAAAACTATTGTATCTAAATGCAATGTACCGGATAGGTTTTTAAACTGAATTCTTAAAAGTATAATAAAATAAGGAAACTCTCATATTTATATCGGGACATTATAGCACCAATTAATTGCTAAATTTAACAGAGAATAAAAAGTTGACTAATCTTGGTCAGTGAATCAATTTTCATATCAAGAAATGTATTGATTTGATGACAAAAAAAAAAGGTCTAGTATATTCAACAACTCTTATAGAAATATTAAACATCGAGTTTCATACAAAAAGGAGAGAACTTAGAAGTAATTTTGAAGAATGTAACAAGCGTTGCAATATTCTTATCTTCAACTTTGCTATGCAATTGACGAGATAAATATCTAGGCTTTAGGGTCGTTACTACCTGAAATGGTCTAGAAAAAACATGGCTTTCAATTTGATTTCATAACGTTAAAATAATGGTAGAGCTAACCAGAAGGAAGAGATCAATACAAGAACGTTGGGATTTTGTTGGAAAGAAAAAAAAAAAAAACCGAGAAAAAGAAAAGAAGATGAAAGAGAAATAAAGAGAGAAACACTTCTACAAAGAGGATTATAGGAGTGCACCTTCGAAACTCGACATTGTTGATCAAGTCAGATGTTGCCGCTGCAGATGTTGTATCAAGTCAGAGCTACCAAGCCTGTAGTATCCACGATTGTAATAATGGAAGGTGACGGAAGGCACATGCTGAATTTTCCAGTAATCAATTCCTCCATCTGGTTGCAAACAAACCACAAATTCCCTTGGCATGTCATGAATTGCCAAAGATTTGAGGTTTGAAAGGTGTTGAATATCGGAAGGCATCTCCTTCATTAGTGCAGAACGCCCAAAGTGAAACTCTTCAAGAAGAGGCAGTGCTCCTACGTCTATTTTAACCACCTTTAATCCTGTCAACTTGTTAAACTTAAGTTGCTTGAGTTTTTGAAAACCACCTTTCTGGAAATGCAATTCCTCTCCATCATATGTCATGCGAAGGTATGATAAATTGGGCAACGCTTGGAGGCATTTCATTGGATCGTCGATAAACCTTGAGTAACTTAATGACAATCCTTGTAGATTATGAAGTTCCGAAACCCAATTTGGCAATTGATCTAGTCGACAATTCAATTGGAGATAACGCAAAAAAGGAGGAGGCGATGAAATGCATTTTAAATTTATAACTTCATCCTCGTTGATTGAAGTCAAAATTAACCTCTCAAGGTGGTTCATTTTCTCAAGGACAACTCCCAAAGGCTCTCCCATTTCTGCAGTCACCTTTAAAATGTCCAAACGTTTTAGTTTCCTAAGCTTCTGCAGCTCTTTGACAAACCCAACTCCATCAGGGTATGCTTCCACCTTGTGTAGTGTTTGCAACTCCTCCAACATACCAATTCCTTTGCATATCCTCACGCCGCAATATGTATTCAAACCTGAATGGCTATTCTTAGCTATTGAGTAAATGCGAAGGTGTCGCAAATTCCTTAGTTTAGTAATCTCGATTGGTAGCTCCGTCACTAAGGTGTTCCTAGCATCCAATGTCTGTAGATTGTGCAGCTTACCAATAGATTTGGGAAGAACTTTCACTCTTGTACCTGATAAACACAAGTATTTCAAGTGGAACAACTTCCCCACTTCTTTTGGGAGATCATCAAGAGGCGCCTTATCAAAATCTAACACTTCCAAAAGTTTAAAATTTTCAACTAAATTAATCATGAACGACCTTGTACATTCCTTGACGCCAAACAGAAAAACAGACCGAATGCTAGAACCCATAACTCTTTCCAAGACATTTTCTGTAGTATCGTGAATTGAGAGGCGGTAACTGTTTTCTGCAAGATTGAGGTTACTCTTTTTTATAGTTTGAGAAAAGCACAATTCACCTGCTCTAGTTAAGATGATATCATGCATCAGATCATGGACTTTACATACTCTTTCAACTCCAAATTCTACTTCAAACAAAACCAAGTTTCTTTGGATGAGCTCATTTAAGTATTCTTCGGCTACGTCTTCTAATGTTTTGTCTCTTCTTGCTTTAACAAAACCTTCAGCAGACCATAGTTTATACAACGCACTTTCAGAAATCTTATGGTCTTCATCAAAGATGCTAAAATATAAGAAGCAAGTCTTGAGGTGGTAAGGTAGATCTAGATAACTTAGGGAGAGAATTTTTGTAATATCAGTTCTTTCATACTCTGAACTAATATTGTTAAGCACCTTTCTCCATTCGGAATCGACTCTTTCTTTGGTTGACAAAAGACCAGCTATGGTTGAAATGACAAGTGGCAAGCCTAGGCATTTGCTAACAATCTCACGAGACAATTGCTCCAACTCTTGGGGACAACGCCCTGCAAACTCATCACTTCGAAATGCCTTCTTGCAAAATAATTGCCAAGCCATTTTGAAGGACCACGTTTGAACCTCATGGACAAGATCACAAGGGTTTTCACGACAAAAACTAGCCACGGTGAAATTACGTGTTGTGATAATTGTCCTACTGCCTTTATCTTTATTTGGCAAAGCATGTTTCATATCTTTCCAAAAATCTTTTTGCCATACATCATCAAAAACAATCATGTACCTCTTTGTTTGCAGATGCTGCCTCAATAGACCAATTAACTCTTCCTCTGAACAATCTTCCTCAATTCTCTCCCCTGCAGTACATATCTGCCTTGCTAGGATCCTCAAAAGCTTCTGCATATCGTATGACTGAGATACCGTGATCCATGCACGACAATCAAAGTGAGCTTTCACAACTTCATCGTTGTAGACTTTCCTAGCAAGAGTTGTCTTACCAATTCCCCCTTGACCTACCAACGAAGTCAGTGAGCGCATGGATGGTCCTTCAGTTAACCTTCTTATAAGTTCCTTGGATGCTCCATCAATACAAACAATTTCATCTTCCTCCAGGAAAAGGGATCCGAGGCGAGGGTCGCGTGCTTCATTATTAGTTGTGCTGCTACTTGATCCTTGTTCCAGAGGTCTTAAACCATAGCCGACACCTCTGTCCTTGATTTCACGCAATGACACTTTAATTTCTTTGATATCTGAAGCTATGTCATAGCGCAGTTTCAAAGTTTTGATGTAGTGACCACGTTTGCGTAAAGAGCCGATAAACCCACCATCATGGCGATGTTGTTCAACATGATAAAGGTACTCATCGACCACATCTTTAATGTGATATGCTTGCTTTCTTATTTGCTTCAACCATACTTTCGCTGCATTGTTCACTTCTCCCTTCTCTGATTTCGCTTCTGCATCTCTAAGGAAAGGTTGGATGATCTCCAATTCATCTTTTAGACTTTTGACTTCTTTGCGGACTCCTCTTAACAAATATATTTCTTCAGCCAGCAGGCCAACCAACTTTTTAATGAGAGGACTCAAGAACGTCTCTGTCATTTCTTTCTCAGCTTCTGATCAATGAGGCGAGCAATGACGACCTGACAACATCCAATCACAATTTTGTAAATAAGCATAACTAACAAAGCAAGAATTTCAAAAGAAACAAAAAAGGTTATATGAAATAGCCAATAATTTGCAATATTCTATCTTTAATGTTTCTCGTGTTAATTTACCAAATGAGTAGTGGTACCTGGAAAAGCGGCATTGCATAATGGAAGAGAGCATTTTCCTTCTTTTTCCTCTCCTCAATGGGCTTCTTCTAGCTGTCACCTGAATGATGAGAAAAATGCTACATTATTCAAGTCATTCTAACAAGCCAAGTAATTTCTTCTACCACTTTAAAAATATCGTATAGTTTTTTTATCTAATAATAAAAACGTAATATAATTATTTTCTTCCGTGATGATATAGTTAATTACTAAAATTATAGCAACTTGTTAGATTAAAATCTTGAAAGGGAGCATTTTAAAAAGGGAAATACTTTTCCTTTTTTTTCTGTGTTCTTTTTTGTGAGGGATTTTTCTTATCTATCAAAAATACCACTTGATTCGTGGCTGCCGATATATGACTAATAAGCAAGCCACCAAATATGCTATTCAAGGAAAGTCAATTCAATTGGGTGCTAATTGTATATTAGCTATATAAACTTTACTAGAGGACTTTTATGTATAATCATTTGCTTAGCTGTAATATACCCGCTAAAATTTGGTCACTCTTTTTCTAACTGGTCATTTGGTCACTCTTTTTCTAACTGGTCATTTGGTCACATATTAAATATTTCAATTTTTCATAACTAAATTATACCCGCTAAAATTTCTAACTTTTAACTGATATTTCACTATTCATAACTGGTATTTACGAATTTTCTTTATAAAAATATTCGTATTATAACTTTATATATTTCGGGAAATTTTACCTCATACATAAAATTTTTACATAATATTTTCTTGATCAAGCTGAAAATTATACTACTTTCTGTTCCGGAAGAAATTATGGTCAAATACCGGACTGTCCGGATTAGACCTGAAATTTTTCCGGTCATTATAGAAGCCTTGGCTATTCAGAAAGTCAAGTACTGGATGACACCACTCATATAATACTTGGCGGATGCAAAGTTGCCCGACGACGACAAAGATGAGGCCAGACGGATCAAATACAGAGCAGCCCGGTACCTGTTGTATGATGGTATGCTGTACCGACGAGGCTTTTCAACACCTTTACAGCGGTGCCTGAATGGCGATGAGGCACGAGGAGTCCTCCGGGAGATCGATGAAGGAGTGTGTGGTAATCACACTGAGGGGCAATCTCTCACTCTCAAGGTTTTGAGACATGGGTACTATTGGCCTACGCTTAAACAATACGCGTTTCAATACGCTCGGCGTTGCGATAAGTGCCAAAAATATGCCACAATTCCTAGAGCACCCCAGAAAACCTAACCTCTATTCTTAGCCCATGACCCTTTGCCAAATGGGGGATCGACCTGATCGGACCCGTGCACCTCGCACCGGGGGGCTTTAAGTTTGCCGTCATCGCAGTAGACTATTACACTAAATGGGTAGAGGCAAAAGCTCTTACTACAACCACGGAGGCAGCTTGCACAAACTTCATCTGGAACAACATCGTGTGTAGATTTAGAATCCCACATTCAATTGTATCTAATAATGGGAGACAGTTCGATAACGCCTCAACTCGCAGGTTTTGCGATGATTTGGGCATTCAGAAGGACTTTTCAGCACCAATACATCCACAGTCCAATGGTCAAGTCGAAGCTATCAATAAAATCTTGAAGTACACCTTAAAGAAGAGACTCGACGATTTAAAAGGAAAATGGACCGAAGAACTCCCGAAGGTCCTGTGGGCATACAAAATGACAAGTCAAACCACTACGAGCGAAACACCTTTCTCCATGACGTATGGCGCTGAGGCAGTTCTCCCCGTAGAAATTGAAACGCCGATGTTAAGAACTGTCGCATATAATGACGACGCGAATACGGAAGCAATAAATGGAGAGCTCAACCTGTTAGAAGAAAAAAGGCTCGACTCCCAACTACGGCTCGCCGCCTATCAACAAAGGGCAGCACGATACTACAATAAGAAAGTCAAGAAAAAAAGGTTCGCCCCAGGAGACCTAGTATTAAAGAGGGTGACGCAGAGCACGAAACCCAAAAATACTGGTCCTCTGGATCCAACTTGCGAAGGACCCTACCGCATAAAAGAAGTACTACGCCCTGACACATACATTCTGGAAAGTCTCGCTGACAAACGAATTCAACACTCGTAGAATGCAAAACAGCTAAGATTGTACTACAAATAGTATATGAATTCTTACACATCTCAGTTGTATTTGTGACAATTCAATAGTATACATCAATTTATTTATAGAATATTGCTCAAAAAGATAACAAAGGAACCAACCCCTTAATAACATGTCTGCTTGAAAAAAAAAAGCAAAGTTTATTAAAACAGACATGGGGGCAGTAAAGGGTCTACGGATCACAAAAAGAATTAGAACGTCGTCTCCTATAAAGATGAGAGCAAATTTTAAGAAATCTGCTAAGCGACGACCCCAAGGAGTACTTAGAATGTCGTCTCCTCTAAGGAGGCGAGACAGTTAGCAAATTTTAAGAAATCTGCTAAGCGACGACCCCAAGGGGTACTTAAGACGTCGTCTCCTCTAAGGAAGAGAGTTAGCAAAATTTAAGAAATCTGCTAAGCGACGACCCCAAGAGGTACTTAAGACGTCGTCTCCTCTAAGGAAGAGAATTAGCAAATTTTAAGAAATCTACTAGAGCGGCGAATCTTCAAATATAAAGGCAAAGCTAACATTATATAAATATGAAAAATATATTCAAAATTAAGTAAGACCCATTGTCTAAAAAAAAAAAACCAGCAAATCCTTAAACTTCGCCGCTAGCCGCCGAGCCATCTCCACCAGGCTGGGAAGAACCATCATCATCAGCAGGAGGAGGAACGTACAGGAAGCTCAAATCTCACTCAGGGTGCTCTTGTTTAATCAAGTAAACTATTTGCACCCCAGCAGATTGAAAATCCTTAGTGCGAATATCGATGAGCTCTGCGGAAGACATGAACTCCTCAATGATCTCCTCACGCTTGGCGCCGGCCGCAAGCTCAGCCTCCTTTTTCCCCTCAGCCTTCCCTTCAGCAAAGCACTTCTCTTTAGCCTCGGCCGCAAGCTCAACCTCTTTCTTGATGTGAACATAAGGGATGCAAGAAATACTCATCAAAGTCGATCCGAAAGAGAGCCAACTAGTCTTACACATCCATTGAGCCATTCCGAAAGAGAGCCAATAAGTCTTCCACGTCCATTGAATCATTGCATGGCCAACTTACATGCCATTACAGGACACACGTGCAAGGGGAGAATTCCAATAAGTTATGCGCAATTTCCAACGAAGGATCAAGTCAAATTGCGGATAAAGACTTGCCTTTTATCATAATCCTATCTTTTTAGGTTTAATTTTCAATTTAAACATTTAAATTGCATAATAGGCGTTTTAAGGAAGGAGTTATATTCAAATTCGGATTCCTTCCCTCAGAGTTATCTTTAGGCGTTTAGAAGGAATGAGTTGAAGTCAAATTTGGATTCTTTGCCTAGGATAAGCTTTAGGCTTGCGTTTATCTTATTTTTAAGTTTATCTTATTTTAGGCTTCTATCTCATTAAGGATAGAATAGGACTTTTACGATTTTCAAACCCTTCATGTTATTTTAGGCTATTTAAAGCTGAAATCCAGAATTAATAAAAGTTTTTTGATGTTTATTCATATTGTGAGTTATTCTTCTTAAGTTCTTGAAGAGACTATTCCGAACTTATCAAGGTTTCCTTGTAGCGTTCAAACTTGACTTATCAAACAGATTTTCCATACTCGTTTGTGGCGTCTTTACCATACCAAGGTTATTGCTTTGCTAAGCAACGGGTCGCAGTTTCCATCAATTCTTGAAGACCTTGAATCGTATTCCATATTTGGTTTCGGGTTTTGACACATTATTGGCGGGGTTCATATCACTTCTCGGCTGCCTCCGCCCGCTTGGTAATCTCCTCGACCTTAGTCTTCAGACTGGCCAACTCATCTCGAAGATTCGACAGCTTGGCCAATTCACTTTCTAAACTTGCCAATTTGGCCACGGCGACGTCATTCTCCTTGACGGCAATCGAGCTTTTAGATTTCTCGTCGTTAAGGAGGGACGTGAATTTGGCTTCAAGACTGTCCATTTTTTTGCTGCGTTCCTCAACCTTGACTAGGTCAATAAGGTTGAGGATGGCAAGGATGGGGCCCTAAAAGATAAATCAGAAGTCAGAAAAAGAAATCATGAAAGTCGAGTCTAAAAACACACCGTTGAGGCTTACATGAATCTGGAATGATATCTGCTTGCGCTGACAGTCCACCAGAGAATAACAGGAGGCGGAGACCCAGTGCTTGTCAAAGAATGACTCGTACAGGGCCTGAAAGACGAGGGAAAAACGGGGAGGGAGGTTAAGCATCGCCTTAATTTGGGCGTCAGAAATGTCTGGAACTTGGAAGTTCGAATACATTACTTTCGCCTCAGGCAGAAGGAGGCGAGCTCTAGGAGTAGGAGCCTCGGCGACGTCAGGGACTGGAACCACCGGTGTCCAGGTTCCAGTAACTTGTACCTCCTCCTGATGTGTCCTTTTGGACACAGGAGCTTCTGGCGCAGATCCCGAGGAGCCCCCTGAGGGTTTTCTTTTCCTCGGGGCCAAAGAGGAAGCACCGGCCTTCTCCTTTCCCTTGGACTGAGGCTGACTGCCAGGGAGCTGAATCCTTAGCGAAGCCATTTCTGCGCAACTGGTGGTTAGAATGGAGTCGACGTGCAGTCATGCAAACAAAACAGAAGAGAAGACGTCGAGTCAAGAAATTTACCTTCAGCGTTCAGGTGAAAAAATTCCTGGACGGCGGGCAGATTTGTGGGGTCCGGGAGAGTAAGAATCAACCCTATTTCCCTGAGATTGGGCTCTCCAATAGCGAAAAAGCCTTCTCAACCCTCGCCTGTCTGCTCCCAGCAAGCTTTGGCCGATCGCGGCTGGCTGCAAATCAAAGAAACCATCAGCGCTACATAAGCAAGAGAAAAGAGAAGGAAAAGGTTTGTCAAATCCTCACTCATGGTCCCAAACGACGTCTGCGCCTTCCGGCGGTGGGGCATGCGGTCGTTGGGATGGAAGTTAAAGGGCCCCCGTATCATGAAAAACATGGGCTTCCACCCATGAGACGACAAGAGTATCCCCTGTATCAATTTACCCAATTTGGGTTTGGATCGCCCGTATCCGCCCAAGAAATACTACCCTTCGCATTTGACGACATGACATAACTTATATATGTACATAAACTCGTCCAACGACAGATCCATATCAAACCACTGACTCTACAAGACCCAGGCGCCGGCAAAACAGTACCAAAAATTCGGCGCTAGTTGAGTAGGGGAGATGTCATGGTAATGGCAATAATCCTTAACAAAGGGATGAATGGGTAAAGTCATCCCTGCATTGATAGCCCGAGTATATACAGGAAGATACCCGGTAAGAGGAAGGCTGGTCCTAAAAGTCACATCCGGGAAGAGATAATCGAACCATCTCCCATCAATGCGACCCTCCCTAACCGCCCGGACGATGTCTCTATTTCGAATCCTTTGCGCTATCACATCAGCAGTAAAAAATGGTATGTCTGAATCTCCACTCATGGCAGCCAAATGGGCGTTTACCAATGAAGCGGCGATCCCACACACGCCTCCTCCCACAAAGGGAAGCTCGCCACTTTCTTCCCCTTCAACCATGAGATCGACGCTGTCGACATCATCTCTCGGGTTGGCAGCATAATCATCCACTTCCCTCAAAATGGAGCCGCTGTCTGATGAGGATGAGGTCCATGAGATCTCCGCGACAGAAGGGGAGTCGGGTCTCACAACGGATGTACCCTCTCGACGAGTAGGTTTTAGGGCCATTGTTCTGGTATATATATAAAAAAAAGATGTGAGGCGCTGAGTCAAAAATCCTAAGTCGAGAGGGAGGAGTAAGCGACGATTATTCAAAACTTCAAACGACTATTAGGTACTTGAAATGCCGAGGGCTCAAAGAACCGTCGACCATTCATACAGAGAGCGGCGGTTATTCATAGTGAAAACTAGATTCGCCAGTCATTCAGAAATCAGCAAGTGCAACCAGCCAAAAACCAAGAGGGCAATCCTAAGTATATCTAGAAGAGCATAATGTAGTCTTTTCTATGGTAAATCTAGAACATATAAATGATTCGGCAGAGAACTAGAGGCACAAGTACAGCAATCGAAAGGGGACTTACCAGTGATTGAAGAAGGTGCGGAGTCTGAACAGAATCTGAGACTTGATCTAGGAAAGCTTCACGGAGCACCAGGGAAAGTAAGGAAAATAGTGTGGTGGATTCTGAGGAAAAACTCGGAGTAATGGAAGCTCAAAGCTTGGGCAAAAATGTTTTTGGTTCAACATTTAAAGGGAAGCAAGCCCTCTACCCCTGACCGTTAGATAAAGCTCTAATTAAATCCAACGGTGGGGGCATCTTGTCAAAAATCTGACGGTAACAAATCAAGGCGGGCAAGATGAAAGGGCACGATCCCAAGGCTCAGATTCATACTTTGGAAATACATCAATATGGTGATAGGACTGACGCGACGTTTACACTTCTCGAGGGATTTCGAAGCGTCAGGGCCATCATTACCGGGCAAGTTTGGAGTTAGGTTCCCACACCCGAGGCACATAGATGAGACACCAGAGCAAAATCCTGACGTAGCTCAAGGCTGTCCAAAGGAAAGCCTCAACCTGGGGGACAGCTGTTGTGTGGGAAAATATGGTTGACACGTCGGATAGCGACAGCGTTCCACGTGGCCCTATTTTTCCTCACGTCAGATAACCCTCGACGCCTGAAACTCATTTTTCCTAACGCGGTTAAAAAGGCCTATTGCATGGGAACGACTCGTTATACCGTCTACCCTTTGGATGAGACCTGCGCGATTTGTCCAAGTGCCATCAAAGGGTCGGCTGCCAGAAGAAGCTGCGTCTTGCTTAGCATAGGCGCCGAGGGCAGAAAAAGGAGGACGGAGTCCGTATCTTCAGAAAGATCTCTGACACAACAAGTTGCGTCTGGGTTGGGAAGACATCTGTAGTGCAAGTATTAATTACGAGCCCCTAAACCGCCCAACAGTGGATGGTGGAGGGTTACATGGAGTCTGCCGAACCGTAATAGAGGACTAATTGGACGCGTGAACAGTACAAAAGGGATTAGTAGGCTACGATCTGGGCCTATGGGGGAGTATGCCACTTGAGTGGGTAAGTCTATAGAGAAAAACCCCTCCTGAAGTAAAGTTAGGCTATAAAAGGGGGTAAAGCCTCGAATGGAAGGGAGAGAGCTTTTCTTATGTAAATTATAAAGAGCCCAAAAGAAATACAAAACAAAGTGGATGTAGCTCTTCATTAATAGAGTGAATCACTATAAACTTCGTGTCATTATTTTCATTTAAGCACGGTTCTCACATTTCATTCATCACAAGGTTTATACACACTTCATAAGCATTATTTCCAGTATCAAACAAATATTAAAGTCTGTAACCCAACGGGATACCAACAGGTGACCCGACGTAATCCTGTTAGCAAAATTTCACTGTCAACGAGTTGCTTTAATTGTAAATATTTGTCCCCATTCTCTCAATATCATGCACTTGGATATATGGTGTTATAAAAGTTTGAGGTTTTCCATTCTATTCACTCTCTCTAACAAGCCTTGTTTAGCAAACAACTATGTTTCTAGTTAATCTAAAACATTTGTAGGCAATTTCAATCATATCCATGACAATATTCAAAGCCAATCAACATCACAGGGCATCAGACATATTTCAACCATTTGGAACATGAAAAATGAAAGGAAAAACTCATTACCTTAAGGCCCTGTTTGGAAGTGGGATTTTATGGGGAAAAAGATTTTGAAGGACGGGAAAAGAAATAAAGGTGAAAAAGAATAAAAAAACTTTCACCTAGTTTAGAACCTGAAAGAAAATTTATGGAAAAAAAAAATTTGAAAGTTTTTGAACAACATACAACTAGATGGAGGACGATTTCGGCGAGCTCTTTCGTGATAGACGATGGCAACTTAGGTAAGGACGGCGGTAGATCTCGCCGGAGAAGAAAGATCACGGCCGAAGACGATTCCGTTGCGAGCTCCGACGTGATGAACGATGGCAGCGCAGGCAAGGCAGCGACAGATCACGCCGGAGAACAAAGATCACGTCCGAGGACGACCGCCGCGGAAGAGAAGAGAGAGAAGGCGGAGGAGAAGACAGGGGAAGATGGGCGGAGGAGATAGAGGGAGATGGGCAGAGGAGAGAGAGAGGGAGTGGGAGCGTCGGGCGAGGAAGACAGAGAGAGGGAATCATGCGAGAAAATGTCACGCCTTTTCATATTCGATTACAGTAAACAATTATTAAAATTATTAAAATAATAATAACTTGTTAGATTAAAAGCTCGACCACCTGGAAAACACCGGTGCCTGAGAAAAAGCGCGTCAAGAGGGCCCGCCAGGGATCAAGAAAAGGATAAGAAAACATGCTCTGCTTCTAAAAAAGAATAGAATGAGATTTACGAGACTTGAGATTCCAAAAAGAAAAATTGCTCTACTTTCTAGGAAAGAGCTCAGCTATGACTAGAGAAGACTCAAGTGACAATACGTTTGCAAACAACAACTAACGATAAGCCTTATTATTTTAATTTTAGAATTTGTTTATTTTATTAATTTAAGTTTTTAATTTTAAAATTTTATAGTTAAAAGTTTTTTAAAAACGTCACATTTAATTATTTTTTATTATAGTTAAAGACTCTTAAGAAATATTACATCTTAATTTAAATCTGTGAATCGAACGTTACCTCAATTTTTTTTTCCTTTTTTTCGTTCATGATATTCACCTTGTTCTTTAGATTGTATTATTTTTATTCTCTTTGATTTAGATTTATACTCAAGTCTTACATTTTCTGGGTTAAATCAATTTTAACTGTCAGTGAAAGTCCTAAAATTCTAAAAGAAATGGAAATAAGAATGAGAATGAGAAAAATTAAAAATAAAAACTAAAAATTTAAAAATATAAATAATATTTGGGTCTTTTATAATTAGAAAGTATTTTTCAAAGAATAAAAAAATATACCCCCGCATCTCTAATTAAAGCTAATTTCATATTTAGAAATTCCAGTGTTAATATCTACAGGAGTACGAAGCTTTTGAAAGAGATTTTATTATATATCCAGAGGCACTTTGCTATACGAAAGATATTTGGCTAAGCAAGTACAAATATATCCAGTGTTTTTTGGTAAGATAAGTTTGCTATACGAAAGATTTTATGTAAAATGTTCAACATCTCTTGAATATCTCTTGTTGAACCAGAAGTGAAGACAATTACACGAGACTGTCCATCCTCGAAGCTTAAGCCTCGTTCGTTTCGCTGATTCGAGTTTAGAATTCGAGTTGAGATGTGATTGTATGTGAGAAATTTTTACTGTAGTAAAAAAGTTAGATGTGATTGTTTGTGAGAGCTTTTTACTGTAACAAAACTCGAATTCTAAACTCGAATCAGCGAAACGAACGAGGCCTAAATCTACTCGTAGAAACCGTCATCTTTTGAATATGCTATAGACGTTAAGCATAATTATATGAATCAATGTTATTGTGCATATGTTTTTTTAATCGTACCTAGTTGTTTTTGTATTATAGAGGTTTTGCTCTTATTTAATGAGCATTGTACTAAGCAGAAAAATAAAAAAAAAAAGATAGGATGATGGGAATTGATAAATAAAGAAAAAGAAGATTGCATTAATTATATATATATGCATATATATATATATAAGAAATATTGAAAGAGAATATATTTTTTATAAATTAAATTAAGATTAAAATTAGGTAGGGTATGAAAGGGTTAAATTTGGTATTAAGAAAATTATATCTATAAAAGGATAGATTTTTCAAATTTTTATTAAATGAGCATTAATTATTTAGGACATTTATAAATTTTTGAGGTGCAAATATAACTACTCCTTCAGAAATTGTAGTATGTAACATATTTTTGAAACTAAATTAAGTAAATAACATATTTTAAATTATTTGAAGTAAATAATAGTTTATCGTGTAAATGTTTCATGTACGACTAATAAAAAACAATTTACGTCGTAAAAAATCTTTATTTACATAATAAAATATTTTTACCAATCGTAAAAAGAAAATTACTTGTTAAATTTTTTTTACTAGTTGTAAATGAAACATTTACACGATAAACTGTTATTTCTTTTAAATAATTTTAAAATATACTATTTACTTAATTTAATTTCAAAAATATATTATTTACTACCTTCTTCCTTTTTATTTTTTAATTTTTTATAAAAAAGCATATATGAAATAATAGGTCATTCAGTTATATCAAATTTACAAATGACCTATATAACTAAATTGGTATCTACCAAATTCCTAACTACTGATTTCTTTTCTTTTTTCTTTTCAGTACT